AGAGAAAATAATAAAACAATTTTTTTTTTTTATTATTCATGAATATACAAAAATAAATATACATCCAGTAACTGTGATACAGAGAAATACAATTTAACATGCTTTCAAGGACTACTTTAACTAGTTACACAGTTTCATTTTTTTTTTCTTGCCGTGTAATAATCACCGTTATAAGCAAAAAAAAAGTCAGCCCAAAATTAAATGCTGAATCCGCTAATACAAGAAGTAATATTTGTTATTATTTCTAATTTCAAAAGTAAGTAAGTCATTTCATTCAAAATTAAAACCATGGTTCGACCATTCAAAATCAAAAACGTAACAGTAAAAGTTCAAAACGTCCATAATTTGTAATGGATATAATTTTTTTTTTTCACATTTTGCTACACATTTGAGATTTTTTTAAATGCATCAAGCTACATGGAATATTCTGCGGTCGTTTACATCACAAAAAACCGGGCATTTTTGTTTATTGCTGTTTTCTTTTTTAATCGAGTTTATTTATTTTATTATTTTTTTAGCTTTGATTATTAATCTTTTTTTTTCAAATTAGGTCATCCGACGCCCGGATACATCGTTGCTTAAGCGTTATTTACTCCTATGCCTCATTTACTGGACAAGCTGAGAGACGAACATTTCTCCATGTTGGGCGCCTCTGGGAAGTATTGGCTGTAGCCCCCTCCCCTCCATCCGGACCGGTCCCCTACCAGATCCTATCCCTCACCCCAGCCTTCAAATTGATCAAATTCTATTGTTTCGAAAGATAACGCCCCACAACTTGAAAAGTTATTTAATCCGGTTATACAAAAAGCGCCTGGGTATAGTTGAAAAAACGAAGGGGTAAATACATACATCGTCCATTTTTGATCATTTCGACAAATCTAATATTGATCCTATATTATGAAACGAGCGATTTCTGTTTATCAATCCGTCCTCAAAATTGATCTCGAAATTCTCCGGAAGGGTTTCGCTTTTAATTCGATAGAAAGGAATATTAGGCCACACGAATCGATTGGTGTAATCCATTATCTCAGGAAAACTTTAAGTTAGTAGTCCGCGACAGAGGCCCATTTTTATCAAATTATTAACACCCATCAAAAACTTTGTGAATGACTTCAGATTATTGAAATGAAATGAAATGAAAATAATTTTATTATTCTGGGACTAGTGTCCCTTTAGAACAAGTCACAAATACAGAATATATATCAATATTTTGGTGTGTCCATGAAATACTATTTAATATTTACAGGTTGATTCAGAGTACAATAAAGTTATAAATGATGAAAAGATATAAATACGTGTAAATATATATATTTTTTTAATTATTTTAATGGAATTTACAACTGTATTACATAGAAAATACAATAAGTAAATGTGAAATTGGTAACATGACATGTACATGAAGAGAAACTACCCATTGGTAGAACTCAAACGTGTAAATATAAAATATACAAAGAAATTAATTAAGTGAACGAAATATCGATGAATTACAAAATAATCAGAGTATCTGGGTGTACTTTGAGGTTTTTTACAGCTTAGGTTTTTAAGTGCATTTCGAGATCAATCGGATTGGTAATTATACATCTAAACTTTTTTATCAACGAAAATTCACGAAAACGTGGCGTTTTCTCATTAAATTAATTAATTTAATGAGGTTTCCAAAATGCATGAATATATATTTGTTCTTTACTTGAATCGTAAGATAATTTTATCACAAAATCTGCAAAAAAATTGGGCCGTTTGGCCTGTAAAACCTCGTTATTTAGACATGCGGCCCGAAGCCCGAAAGGCCACCTCGTTGAAGTGTCTTACAATGGATGAACTCGAATCCCTATATATTTAATGAGATATTGTAAAGATAAATTGCATCCACGGATGTTGAATTATTAAAAAAGAAATAAATAAAGAGAAATAACACGAATAATAATGTTTTTATAGGTAATCAGAACGCATTCAGTTAATAAGATTTTTATTGCCAACGTATTAACCGAAGCTTGTGGGTCATCATCTGGGCATGTTCAGACGTTCAGTGCTGACAACATGGCCTCATGATGACCCACCCAAAAAGGTTTAAACGTTGGAAATAAAGATCTCTAAAAAAGACTACATCCTTACTATCTATCACCCATGATGTGTAAAACAGTCTTCTAAGTCTTATTAACTTCCTTCCATAATAATGTTTTCAGCGATACTTTTTTATATATTTTTTCTTGACACGTTCTTATTCAGTAGCTGCATACTTATGTAATACTTTAAAAAAAGAGATATTTTTATTTTTTAAGTATTATACCAGATCAATTTAGCCCATAAAAATATATTTTTTTTTAGTTTTCGGGTAAGGGGGCTAGATTTAGGCATAAAGTGGATATAACTTGGACAAGTATAAATGTAGATTTATAAATAAATAAAGTTCCTACGCGATATATTTTATAAATTGGCGAGTATTTATCTCATAGTTTAAATATTAGATCCAAAACCACATACCTCCAGTGCATCAGATTGTCTTATTCGGAGCCAAAACAAGAATAATGCACGTATTGTAGATATTATACGATATATACGACAAACACAATTTAATATTATAAAAAGGTATACGAGTACACCTCATAAACAATTTAGATTGAAGGCTCCTCAAGGTAGTCCTAGGTCCTATCCTTTACACAGTTTATACAGCTGACATCCAAACCCATTCCAACACTGTCATCACCACCTATGACGATGACACGTGTATCCTATCAGTTAATAACGATCCATCAATTGCATCCCAAACTCTTCAATCACTCATCACAAGTCTTGAAAAATAGTGTCAAAACTGAAGGATTACAATAAATTCCGATAAATCCCATCAAATTACCTTTACTCATCGTCGTAAACCTATGACTTCCTGTTCTGGAGTATCCTTTAACAATACCCCACTTGTCACTGTTGAACAAATCCGATACCTAGGACTCCACCTGGACAAACGACTCACTTGAAACCCTCATATCAGACTGAAACGACTAGAAACCGCCCGACATTTTTTACTACTGCAGCACTTATTAGACAGCTCTCTAAACTTCCAACTATTTATGAAAGACTCTATATATTACTAAAATAAGGCCTATTTGAACTTACGGAATTGAGCTTTGGGGCTCCACTAAACCATCGAATTCCTCTCGTATCCAATCCTTACAATGAAAAATCCTTCGTAAAATCCTCAACGCTCCTTACTTTGTCACATATAAAACCATCCCTAACGACCTTAATATACCAGATGTTTCCAATTTAGCTGAATCCAGTTACCTATCCTTCCATGATAGACTTCTGAACCATCCGAACCCTCTTCTATTCCTGATAACACTCCGAGGCGTCTGAAAAAAAAAATGTCCTCGGGATCTTCTAATATAGAAATATAATTGGGCGCTACCAATGGGTAGTTTCTCTTCATGTTGTACATGTCATGTTACTTTTTTCATATTTTACTTGTTGTATTTATCATTTAATACAGTTGTAAATTTCAATAATAAAAAAAAAAGATTGAAGGCGACAATTTGAGTAAACAATTTTTGTTTTTCGAGGTGCGAAAAACGGATATCAATTTTTATTTTACCTAAAAAAATATTTATCCCCACTTCACTACGTTGTTCGGTCCAAATTGTTTTAAAATCGTACTCATACTATAAGTATCTGCCAAATATAATGTTTTTTTCTAACGTTGGCCTGATTCGGCCTCAAAACAGTTATAAGGTGTTGTATTGTAGGTATTATATATATACGCATTTGAGAGCTTTTTTAGGAAGAAACAAAGTCGTTAGGCGGCTTTCGAAATTCAAAAAACCCTTAAACACGAATTTATATAGAAATCGAAAATAAAACAATAGGGAAATTAGGTTTTGTGTTTTTAAAGTCATCAAAATTTTTGAAGGCGGCACCTTTTGACGGGGTTAGGAATTTTTGGAGACTACATTTTTGTGAAGGATCAATTTGCAGACCCTTCCAAACTAAGAAACGAGGGGGGAAAACATGGAACATATTGATAATTTTTCAGGTTATAATTTCGTTTTCAATGTTTTTTTAGAAGAAAGTGACTTGGGACTCCTAAATAAAATGAACTGGGGGTAGAGGGAATGTGCCATCGACTTTGCGGGGGATGGGCACTCCTGTATTATAACATGTTTATCGTTCTTGTTTTTGGACTAATTGCTATGTGTGCTTCTCTGCTTTTTAACAACTCTTGAAAAACAATATATATATATATATATATATATATATATATCTACACACAGACAAAGTATTTTTTAATCATCTTTATCAATTACTATTATTATGCTTATTGTTTATGATTTTCAGTTAAATAATTAGCTAACTGAAGATAAATATAGCATAAGTCTTTTCCCACACCAAATCAAGTAAAAAAAAATATATCTTTCCATTTTATATGCTTTGCCTGGTTAATAAATTATTATTCTTTAGTTGAAGTATATTACCAATAATAATAAAATAGCTTTATTGGCATCATTTTTCATGACAAAAGCCTTTCCCCGAGGAGGTACAACGGACTAATTCGGACTATTGGATGCACACCAGACATGTGTGTATTTCAGAGAACATAATTCCAAACTTTACCAAGAACTTAACTTTATATGTGAATGCAAATTGCAAATTAAACATTCATATTCAAATTTCAATCTTGTTCTTCCATTAGTGTAAGTAGTGAGGAAGGATCCGCACTCCCCTCCCCTACCCTGCAGCCCAAATTCGATGCGCTCAAAATCCTCCTTCCATCAATCAATAACGCTAACACAAACATAAGCGTAGGTATTTCAGGAAAGTATTTATCAAAAATACAGATTCCCTTTAACTACAATTTATTATCACAGCATGGTCATTTATTTACAATATCAATTAACTGCTAGCAATCTCTATTTAAGCCCTCTGCTTTTCTTTAAATAGAAAAATAATTTATGCATGCCAAGAGCACATACTCGCTTCTACCCAGGATTCTTAGATACTTTGGACTTATATTACTCAAACCTCTCCCCTCTACCATTCAAATCACCCCTTTGAATTAGTTCTTCCCTTTTCTTGTTTTCTCTTTCGCCCCTTGGATGGGAGCCACCCTCCGCACCGCTGGGGTCGCGGGGTGTGTTATTACGCCACTGTTCTTCCCATTTGAGGTTTAATTTCTGTAATAAATTATGGCTCCAGCGTCGTGAGCCTGTAACTAATGGTGACTATGCAACATTGAAAATAATAATAATAGTTTCTTATCCTCATTTCTGAAGTAAACCAAGATAAAAAACCGTTTATATCAACCATAATAATAACCACGAACTGAATTATCTTCAGGTGAATGATCGTTCAATAAGACTAATTAAAAATCCTTTAGGATAACCCTAAGCAAGCGGGTCCCGGGGCTGATTTATTTTTAACAACTCTTGAAAACAATATATATATATATATATATATATATATATATATATATATATATATATATATATATATATATACATACACAGACATAAGGCCGTTCCCAAACCAAATCAAGTTAAAAATATATATATTTTTCCATTTTATATGCTTTGCCTGGTTAATAAATTATTATTATTTAGTTGAAGTCTATTAAAAATAATAATAAAATAGCTTTATTGGCACCATTTTTCATGACAAAAGCCTTTCCCTGAGGAGGTACGACGGAAGTCAGCTCTAAAATTATAATTATTCAAATACAAATGGAACAATATAATAGAAGAGAAGAATGGTTAGGGTGATCAGTTAAAATAAATAACTATCTGTATTTTAACATTTGCCGACCTTTCGGCCCAATGTTCAAACCTTTATCAGAGCTAAGAAAAAAAACATCAGGTAACAATGATATGAGGAACTATAAACATTGAATAATAAAGAATTAAAATTAAAAAAGGTGAAAGGTATAGACTAAAAAAAAATGTAGTTGGAATAAACTTAAAGTAAAATAAAGTAGATAGAATGAACATTAAAGAAAAATAAAGTAGGTAGAATAATAGAATGCAAATAGAAGGTAGGGATGAATGGACAAAAAAAAAAAAAAAATGGAGGGAGTTAATATTAAGTGTAAAAATTTAACATAATCATTGTGAAACAAACAGATATAATACTAAATATTTAAAAATGAATTTATGCATATGGATATACTTGAAAAAATCTGATAAAATAATTGGATATATTTTAAACTGACAATGACTAAATAATTCATTTATACTTAAAATGTATCAAATAAACTTAATAAATTTCGCTTCCGTGTAACGCTGATTGTCCTGACCCTTCCCGACTATCTGAAAAGGTTCGAGGCCCAATCCGAGCTCACAAAAAGATACGTTGGGTACCCAATTCGGAAGCACTTTGTGGGTTTTGGGACCCAGCTCGAGCTATCCCATTTTTTGGAGTAAAATTATCTTTTAACGTTTTTTAAATTCCTTACTTTCGGACCCTTTTATGGTAAAGATGGCCTCAGAGTACCGCTTCCCATACCTACGCCATTGCTCGTAGGAGTTCGGTTTTCATCACGATCAAAGATAACCTTAGAATCATCTCACCCTCGCTGTTTCTTGAGACTAATTTTAATTAGAGAAAAAGGTCAAATTTTGAAGAATATCAGACAACCATTATAGAATCTTATCCCACAGCGACAAATCCTTGCGTTACGAAAACCCCACCGCCTGACCTCCTTTAGTTGAAAGTAGTAACCTGAGACGCTGCCTGCCCCCATCCTACCTACCTAGTTAGTTTTTACTTAGGTGGCTTTTCCAAAAAGGGATCACTAATGAATGAATATCATAAAGACTAGCCTCAAAATTTTAAATCATATACCTGCGCCTATATATATATATATATATATATATATATATATATATATATATATATATATATAGACTGGATAGAAATGTTAAGGCGGAACTTGTCACCGTTTTATTTTATATTGTCGGGAGTAGAGGTTTGCACCGTCAGTTAGAAAACAAAAATAAAAATAAATTATGCTATTTTGTACCGACGTTTCAGCTCAAGTTTTAAAAGTAAAGACAAAATAACAACCAATAATGAGTAAAGACAAAATAACAACCAAAAATTATTAAACAATTGTATCATAAAGATACGAGAACAAAATATATGTTATCTTCTAATAAATAAATTCTAAGAAGGGAATACAAATTAAAATATATGAATATTGTTTGTAATAGTATGGTATGAAAATGTAAATACCGTTTTATGTTATAGATTTCAAAAGATAAGTACTAATCGGATGAAAAGAAATTCACCTTCTCTTTCAACACTTTCTGTTCATAGAATAAAATTAAAATTTTCTTTTTTATGTTTTTATAGAATAGATTTTAGGTCACAGGTCACCAATAAAATACTCTTTTTTTAGAAATAAAATTAACATTATATTTATGTTTTATAGACAATTTTTAGTAATCACAACGAAATTCCCTGAAATAAACTATTGTTTATAAAATTTAAGATAAGTAATTTGAATTAATTTAAACTAAAAAAAATCAAAATTTATTATATTATATACTATTTTTTCTTAAATTATAATAATATAGAATAAAGGAAATGTATTTACAGAAAGTTTAAAAATTGAAATATTTAAAAAAAAAAAAAATTACTAAGATAATTTTTTTTATAGATTCTTGAAATTGACTCAAGAAACCGAAACGTTGGGAAATAAATAATTACTTACAACATATTTTATTGGTGACTTGTGGCGTAAAATCTATTAAAGAAAAACATAAAATAAAATAAAAACATAATGAAATGGCACCGGAAACGGAAAAAACATGAGAAGAAAATTAAAATTGTCTACAGAACAGTAAGCTAAAAGAATACTAACACTATATTAAAAATAAAAGAACAAATAGATACAACTCTGTAATTCAGAGGTTTAAGGTGAGTTATTGAAAATGCGTTTTGTAATGATCTGTATGTAATTTTACATTGTCTTATCAGTGGTATAAACCTTGAAGTTTATATCTACGTATTTCTCTATATAATTATTGGTAAAAGTGGATGTCAACATATCCGTGTCATACATTTTACATGACGGGTGTTCATTAAGGTCATTTTATCATTGTAATTTGCAGGGTTTGCCAAATGGAGCTGAGTATTAATATTGAGGAGAAATATGGTATACCACGTATGTAAGTTACTCCTGGAACAATAAAACGGCCATTTTCAACCCTTGCACCTTCACCCAAGAATATCGACAACAAATAGTGTCCCATAATGAGACCATGCATGGTAATACAAAGCATTTCTATCCTGAAATACAGAGACCTGTAGAAATTAAATTGGTTACCGCCAATCCGTCATGCCCTCTATGACAGTCTTAATAACAAACATTAAAAAAAAAAAGAAGGTATTATTTCCTAAAATTGAGTGAAAAAAAAATGCATCAATCATATCAATCAATTATAAAAAGTCTCAAGTAAAATTAATTGAGCCTAATTAATGATACTTCAACCAATACTTGAGAATATCGTGCATTAAATTCCAATTTGAAATATGAAGATAACATCGAATTATCATAATCCCAGTTATTTGTCAAATGAACAAACCGAATTAGCTAATCACTCTATTTTGAACCTTTACTCTTACAATTTGTACAGAGCTTTGGAGAATAAGTAATAATTTCATGGAATTTAAAATAGTTATAATATTTGTAACTATAGTGAATACTCGATGGTTAACCGTTGCATATTAATGAGGAAGGAGATGGTACGGGGTGGTGGTCATAAAAAGACTTGTAATCATGAAAAAAAAAAAATTATTTTATTTCAAGCCAACGTTTCCACCCAACTTTGCAGGTCTTCATCGTCAGAGGTGTGGTCGGAATGGAGTTTCGGTTAAAACTCGAATAGTTTTTTTCACTATATTAAGTCTTTTCAATAACAGCCCCTTTCCCTGACCATTTCTCCCCCATTAGTAACTATACTTTTATTATTATGATTTTTTAAGTTTTAAAGAAATTTAATGATAGCGGGTTGATTGAGAGCTTATATATATCTATGATGTATGCACCTTTGATTTGGCTAAGGTCTGAACCATAGGCGCAGACTTCGGGAGGGGGCGTGATTAATCGTTATTCCCCTCCCTCCTAATCATTTGTAGTAAAAAAAATAAATAAACTTGATAAAAAATAAGCCACATGAATAAATAAAATATTTACACTAAAATCTATTAATAAAATAAGAAAATACGACTAAACTAAACTAAGCCATGTAAGTAGGTAACTATTTTATCACAGCCTAAGTATTCCTATTATTTATATTTAGATACAATAATTCACCTCTCATGTGGAATACTTAGACTACTACCATTATTGTGTAATTTTCTAATAAATTTCCTCCGATAAAGTTAGAATATATATATATATATATATATATATATATATATATATATATATATATATTGTCTATACATACATATATGTAAAATTGTCTATAAAACATTCTCTATCAAATATATTCATACTTATTTATATATATATATATATATATATATATATATATATATATATATATATATATGTATGTATGTAAATATGAATATATTTGATAGAGAATGTTTTATAGACAATTTTACATAACAAGTCAGACTGTGAAAACGTTTTGTTTTTATTTGGAGGTTATACAAAGTATGAAATCAAAATAATTTTTTAGTTTTTAAGATTACTCAGTTTTAGCTCAATAAGTACTCGAAATGTACCTATGTTATGGACATGGAGGCTGTCTCGTTTCCTCCCATATTTAATTTATAAAAATTGTAATATATCTAAATAGTTTGTTCATATATTTTCAAGTATATCCATACGCACATAAAAAAAAAAGTCTACTATTGTCCAAACATATATATACATTTATTTTTAAATATTATAATATTGAATGTCCCGTCCCCAATCAAAATGAAAATTGTGCAAATAGTTTTTAGATCTTGGCCCAACCTGCCACTTTGGAAGCCATTGAGGATTGAACACGAGGGAATGTTGACACTTATTTAACATGACATAAATATTATAAATAGAAATTAATAGTTAGAGAAAAATTGACAAAATATATTTTGTATGTTGAATATTTGTCTTTCATAAATCGATGTGAGAACAGAACCACTAGCGGATCCAGGATTTAATGTTTTTTTTTTTTGGGGGAGGTCTTCAGCCAGAAAACTTTTTTTGTTCATAAAAATGACGATAATTACTTTGGAAAAAATAAAGAAACTAACTATCTATATGAAATGGTGTTTAAGTGATTCCTGAAGTCCTTTTAAATGTAATTACACGAACAATAATACTTTAAGAGATAATTTTTTTTCCATAAAACATGGTTATATTTTACCATTTTGGGGGGGACTTCAGCCCGAAAGCTCCCTCCCCCCCCCGTAAATCAACCCGTGAACAAAACTAAGGAAGGAGTGGATTTAGGCGAAAAGTAACATAATTACGGTTTGTAGGAATTGAATTTAAAGTTTGAGACTGGCACATTTTTTAAAGAAAGTTGCATACAATTTTTAACATTCGTTTAAATGATGGAAAAATATTCAAATTTTGCTGAAAAAAAAATTAAATATCCATGGCCTAGATTTGTCTTATTTTAATGCATTACCTCCTTGGTCCATCCAAAGAGATTGATGAATTAGAATTTTCATTGTAAAAATGTATTGTAATATGTTTATCTTGTAGAAGAATTTAGATGTTTTTTAAAAATATTTAATGCAGTAAAATTTACGTTCATTTTTTAATTTAAAATATTAAACGGATTTGTTTTAAAAATGGCATTATTCTTAATTTAAATTTATGAATATCTCGTTAACATTAACCATGTTTGTATTTTTTCTGGTGACTAAAATTATACATATTTTTTTAATTTTTAGATCTCAGGAATGGTTTAGTTTATCCGATACGAGGTACTGTCGACTTGCTGTTAGTATTTTTCTCGATATTTACTAGGCATAAAAATAGTTTCATATTCCCGATTTTGTTTTTAATAATTCCAATCGTATTTAGTTTTTCCAAAAATAATGCTTATGTTTTTCAAAGTAATAATTCAATTTTTCCGAAATTGTCACATATCCACTTGATCCTGGAATTATTAACCTACACTTTTCAAACTATTGCTAATATTTGAATAAATATAACACCTATTTTACTTGAAGCATTGTACAATTTCACAGGAAGCAAAATATTTGTATTAAGAAAGTGCATCTGAAAGTGAATTTAAAAATATGAAATCATTTAAAAAAATCATAAATATATCATGTAAAGTTATTCCAAATCATATGTAGTTTATACTAGAAGATTACAGTGCTTCAACATATGATTGTGAATGTAATATTTCATTTGTACTAACTCAACTATTAAAAAAAGTTGGTGTGTATAGAATTGATTTATGCTAAAAAAAATATATAATACTGTATTATTATCTTTTATTGCATGTTTCTTTTTTTACTATATGGCTTGTATTGAAATTCTACATGTTCAAACACATTAACAGACAAAATTTGGGCACTCCACTGAATTTTCCTTATAAGTTAGAACCTATGTCCAAGGAACCTTAAATGCTTAACCCACACTTTGCGCCTGTGTTGGATTCAAATCAATTTAATTTATTTGACCCACAAAATAAATCTCTATTTTTAGGTTTTTATGGCTATTATAGGTTAGTCACCCATAGGATAAGTAAGGACACCTTCTGCATAAAAGCAATTGAATTTAGAAAATACCTTTTCTTTTTGTGAGCCGTCTAAATTGTGTAAACATAATAATACTTAAGGTATAATGTTATTTTATTTCTAAATTAAGTCTCAATAATTATATATATATATATACATATAATGTTAAGATCCCAAAGAAAAGATAGGCGAACTCATAGATTTAAAGAAACCATCATATAATAAAAAAATAGCACTGCAAGAGTAGCTGAATATGATTTTGGAAATTATTCTTGTGTCTATTTTCCACAAACCCCAAACAACAGATATAGGAAACTTTACAAATAACACTACATATGAAGAGACATCACTTTTATTCAAAATATTTTTAATCATTGTTTACTTTTATTCCACAAATTAAATAAATAAAAAAAAAATGCAACATATACATATAAAATATATCATTCAGAAGCAGGAATGATTCGATAGCACCTAAAAACTTTACTTTAAAAACAAAAACAAATTGAGACAACAATTCAATTAATCAACAAAACCTGACTGTTGGCACCCATGACTAAATATAATATTAAGCACGTGTGTTTATATGTATGTGTATATCCACATGTTTTTACATCTCACATAAGAAATATATCAAATATTAATAATGAAACATTTGAGTGCCAATACTTGGAGTAACAGCCAGCGTTGGTCCCACAGTTGTCTAAACTCAAGTGTATTGTCACAGTATCTCTGGTACAGCTTGCATGATGTACAAAAATGGAGTAAATATTGTAGTGAATAGTGGAACAGTGTAATAAGGTAGTTTTAAAAATAGTATTGTTTTAGTACGGTACCGGTAGAGATGAACTTTTGATTATTGTTTTTATTTTGCTAAAAAAAAAATCAATATAATAATTTCATACATCATCTTTACTGGCTGATACAACATGTGACACGGTCATATTAATTTTTTTGAATAAATGAATTGATTCACATGATAAAGCTATTCTATCCAGTGTAGATAATAACGATTATATTACCAATAATAAAATTAAACATAAAATATATACATATACAATCTTTAAAATTGAAAAACAGACAAAAGAAAAATACAAAAAAGAACAACATAATAATTAATTGGAATCTTCCAAAAGCGTAACTCTTCTATTCAAATGTTTGTTGCAAATAATTCATTTACTATCGAGCACCTCTCTCTAAAAATATGATAGTGTCATGTTTCATCATATACATAAAAGAAGTATTTTGTTTACAGCCACACATAGTTTCCAACTATAATATTTGATCATTTGAAGTCAATCTACAGCTGTAGGAGACTTGATCATTATAACAATTATAATCTATTTTAAATAATTTAAGATGAACCATTAAAAGCAAAGAAAAAAAAAGTACCAAGTGAAAAATAATTTAAACATAAAAAATTTAAATTGAACCTAGATTGAAATTGAAGATTGTTAACGATCTATCCCAACTAAATGCTTTTAATCATAGTTTTAAGTTAAAAATCCTAGGTTTTTAACTGAAATAAAAAATCAAGCAGCAGGAAATGAAAAATGTGTATGCGAGCCAATAAAAACAAAAACCAAGCAATACCAAGAACATAATTTAACAAAAAAATCATATTTGAAGAAATTTTTAAAAATGTATTCAACAAAATCATAAAAACATTAAACATTAATTGATAACTTCTTGGATACAACTTCAGTAATTATTAATGTTTTATGATGTCATTAATGTGTTTTACATTTCTTTTTATGAACCCAATAGGTTATATAATATATTTCAATAATTATTTACTAAATTGGTTTATAGTTAGGCATTTTAATCACATTCAGACATGATATAACATAAAACCCCAGTTTGTGTTTAATTAATAGGGGAGCGCAAAGAAACATGTCATTGAATTATTTGACCTATGAAAGTAATAAAACCTAATAAAGGAGTTTAAAACAGATTTTCCCAAACAAATTATGTTTGTAAACTTAATTCAATTACTTTAAATAACAAGTCCAATACTTTTAACATTATCTGTTTAACCTCATTCTTGCACCATTCACTGTGATGTTATAGCTATATACGAACATATTAATTGGTAACAACAAATTAGTTATTTGGCAATATCTAATTAAAGAAGTCACTGTAGTCTAAGAATTTTAAAATTAGCTTAAGAACTTTTTATATTAAAATTAGTTAAACAAATGTCCTCTTTTGTAGGGGTGAACAACATTCAGTTCAAGGGCAGCAATAATTTCCTCCATTAAGGTAACTTATTAAACAAAACCAGATCTATAGTAGTCAAGTCAATTTGTTAGTATACCCAATAAAAATAAAAGAACATTATCGACTCTTACCTTAGTACAAAGTAATGTTAAGTGGTAATAGAATCTCATTGTTGATGCTTAAGCTCACATACACTACATAACAACTGATTTTCCACTTGGTACATTTTTCTGATCTCAATGTATATCTTTAACTATACATTTTTAACAAATTAATTTTTAACAGTTAAACTCAAAATACTAGAAAAAAAACAACCTCTTGTAACAATATCTATATTACAGTTGCCCTACAAGGAAATCATAACTAAATTGAAAATATAACAGAAATAAAAATAAAAAAATTAAAATTTCAATGTTATGTCTTTTACAGATAATTTAAAGAAATTTCTATAATTTAAGGAACAAAATTGGGCTTCAATTGAATGCTGGCAATAAATCTCTTTTGTGCATTTTCTATTGTCAGCATTAAAAAATTGGTATCATGCCCTTTAAGTCTATTTAGATCCTAGAACAAATTATTATTACCAATAGAGAACCTATTAAATTTCATTCTCCAATTTTTCCAAAATGGTATGATATTTAAAGACTCTACAGTTCACTAATATTTTATTTAAGATGGTACGTAGAGACCTTTCCAGATCGTTCAGCATTTATACTTATTCAATATTCCTACATAACGTTAGTCATTAACATAATTATTGTCCACTATAGAGGTTCTCATCTGAAAAACACCTCTAATCCAATAAGTCGCTTATACAGGGCATTACAAAATTTCAATGACTCAAAAAGAGAACTAACCGAATTCACACTAGTCGCGTAAGAAAATAAAAGAGATCTAAACAAAATTTATTGTTAAAATTTTATGTATATATGATTTTATGTACATAAAAAAATATAAATCGTCAATTTTCCCACAATATCTAGCCTAAAACTAACTAAAAACAGTCGACGTGGGAAGTCGAAAATTGAGCTTAGTAAATAACAAATAAAATATCACATTTAGCGAAGATGGTGTCATCTACAATGCCACAGGCGCAGGTTGAGAATGGAGAGTCTAGGCAGCTTCATGATGGTCTCCAGGCCGGCGGTGGTAACTCGGGTGCAGCCGTACAGGTCGATGCAACGTAGGTGCTTCAGACTCTCAGCGATAGTCATCAGCCCCTTGTCAGTGACCCGGTGGCACTGGCCGATGTTGAGGATCTCCAGTTCATGAAGAGTCTTGGCTAATCTGCAAACACCTTCATCTGATATCTGGCATGCTGACATGGATAAGGAACGGAGGTTGAACAGTCCTTGAGAGAGGTGGACTAAAGCCTGGTCTCCAACTTTGTCACAAAAAGAAACATCCAACGAGGAGACTCTGGATCCACCTTCCGCTAGATAAGCCAGGCCCATGTCAGATATATTGTCGCAGGCACGGAGGTTGAGTTCCCGTAGGTTGGACATTTTGGAAAGATACTTGAGGCCACTATCACTGATGTTGATGCAGAAACTGAGGTTGATACTCTGCAAATCTGTGAGACCAGCGGATATATGTTTGAGTGCATCGTCGGAGAGACGCTGGCAGTCCTGAAGGCCGAGATACTCTAACCGCAATGTACCATCTGCCGTTTCCCTATTCTGGCCCGCCAGATGTCCGATTCCTTGGTCAGAGATGTGCCAACAAGACCGTAGGTCTAAGCGCTTGAGATTTTTCAGTCCCCAAGCGATAAGAAGTAATCCGGTGTTAGTAATATTACAACAGCCTCCAAGCATCAGGACTTGTAAGTTTTTCAAATGCTCAGCAATTCTTCCTAGACTGCTGTCAGTGACCTGTTTGCATAAAGAGAGGTCCAATTTGGTGAGGGTCCGCATTTCAGTGAAAAATGCGTGATCCAATGCAATATCGTTTACGTTGAAACAACCGCTTAGATTTAGTGATTCTAAGTTTGGAATACCTTGGACAACATCTCGTAAACTTCCTCGTAGTGACAACACTTGCACTTTCCGAATTCCGCGTTTCACCAAACTGTGAAAAATCGTATGGCACGAACGACGTAAATGAAGTTTGGCAACGGTACCTCTCCATACAGACTTGTGGTAACTGGCGTCTCGCCAAGCTACACAGACCTGGGCTGCCCGTCCTTTGTCGCGAACCTCGAGGTAGCTGAAGATGAGAGCGAGGATCTCCGGATAGAGGTAGGAGATGTTGGTTCTTGTGGCAGGCAGGTCCAGCTGGGGACGATGGAGAGGACGATGGCGCGGTAACTGAGTAAACGGCTCTTCCATACCGGACCGACATACCGCTGACAAGGCCGGCGCTGTACTGACCCTAGCTCCCACCTCCCTTCCCCCACTCTCCCTCACCGCCCCACTCCTACCACCAGTTAAATTTATTACAACCAACATCAAATCCCTTTCTAATAAACTTTACATCAGCATAAAATTAAATTGTCACTTCTTTTTACCAAATCAATTACACAGATAAAAATTTTGTTTAGAATTAATTAAAATCAACGTGAAAATTGAAAGGCTATCAATACCTACGTTTTTTATTTTAATTTTGACAGTTTCATTATTTTAATATTCAAAATACAAAATATTTCATGTGATTTTATCGAAATAATAAAATTTAAAAAAATATATATACATTACAATCTTAATATTAGTCAAGAATGGGATGAGATTACTAAAGGGGGCTAATAACAATATCCAATTTATGGCTAAATCTAAATGATTTATAAAACACGTCAAAACATATAACGATTTAAAAATTAGAAAATGATAATACATTTTAATCAAATATTAAAAACAGAAAGAAATGGGTGAATAAATTATTTATTAAATACATTGGCTATCAGAGAATACTCAATAGTACTACACCCTCAAAAAATTCATAAAACAACATTTTGAGCCTTTTTACTTTCCTACCTATACTAGATAAGGAAAGTAATGCGATCGGGTCAAATTTCCGATATGCGGTTTTCGACGGATCTCTACGTTTCAGGGCTCCTTGAGTCCGAAAAACACATTTTTAGCGATTGGTCTGTCTGTCTGTGCCAAGATTTTCTCGGGAACTAGTGAACCAATTTTATTGCTTCTTTTTTTATTTTGTAGGGTTTTGACTACTGATGCCTGTGACACAAATGGGATGCTCCTTGCGCAATAGCTGCTGTGCAATAAATGAAAAACATGTTTTTCTATAGATTGTAGAACGAAAACAGCTCAAACGATTTTGATGAACTAAATTCCCGAAACAATTCAGGAAAAAAAAGTTATAAAGAAAAGAAAAATGTTTTGGGGCCTAAGTCGCTAAGTATATATTCTTTGGTAAAATTTATAATAAAACTTTTGAAAGGTAATGAAATTCCCTACAAAACTATATAAAAATTGTCCATTTCGGACAACTATTAACGAAGTTACAGCTTTTCTATTTCCAATGTAAGATTACGGGTACATACTCTGGTGTCAGAAAGGGATGAATGAGAGAAAAAAGATAACTAAGTGAAAGTAAGAAAATCTGTTGCCCGCATCACACAAGCTTCACTATTTCCTCTACTTTTAACAGAAATTATTGTTTGACAAAATTAGGCTACGGCAAAAAGTTTTTGTTCAGCAATATTAGAGGCTATTGAAATTTTTACACTGATCTACCTTAAGTCGGTTTACGTTGCTTTAGTTTATCAAATAGATCGTACTCAAATCTTTTCTTTGATCAATTTTCAGGAAAATAAATCTAATTCAATTTTTTTTCTTTCTTTATGGACATATGTAAAAATATAACAACTTTTCTGAAATTGGTAGGAAAGTCATGTGATTTTTTGTTTTTGGATGTTGAATGACAGTTCGTTGAAAAATCTTATTATTCATATTATTAAAAAAGTGCAACTGGATTTCTCGAGTCTATCGTTTACATTAACTCTTTTATTTCATAGATTATTCTTAGCAGTGGTGTAACAATTTCTGATAATAACTATATATACTATTTTTAATAAAATTTTAACGCCCAAGAGACAGTTTATAATAAACTTATAAGATAATAAAATTTCTCTGTTATAGTCCGGCACAAGAAACATTGTTTTTTTCTGTTCTAACCATAATACTGCCGAAAAATACTAATTAAGGATTTCAAAAAAATGAAAACGAATTTATTAATATATAAAAGTCTTTAACGTTTGCGGAAAGTTGCAAAAAATTACAAGTTTACGATAATTTTTTTTTTCTTCTTTCCAACAAGCGAATGTTATAGATCAAATTATTATATATTAAAACTATATGGAACGTGCAAATAATTAATAATATTTTAATTCGTTAACGCTTTAGGTAGCGCCTCTCCTTCTTAATTGAAAAAAAAAATGGAAAAATCAAATTAAAAAAAAAAAAAAACGACATCAAAATTCAACAGTAGAATTATTGACAACATTTTTTTATTGCTAAAAAATTAAAAAAGATTTGTTATTGAGTTGTTCATTTATCAAAGAAACCGGACGAGACATCCTGAACCATAAGAGATAAATACAGGAAAGAACACAGGAAAGCGAAAAATTGTGGTAAACATAAAATGCAACGCAAACATCCGAGAAATAAAATAAAGGCAACATCCTAACGGATTTGTTGAAATTTCAGCTCAGCTGTGTGAAATTCTTAGGAATTCATATTATGCAAGACTTAAACTTCCTATCACATAGTTCACCTTTTTTTCAACCTCAATCTAAACACTTTTAACATTACAAAAAATACACATAAGAATTATTGATATAAACAGGTAATAAAGTAAAGGTATAAAATAAACTTAAAGGGAACATTGTAAGCTTTAACTTATGAATAGTTGAATGGTAGATCTCATCGGTGGATTTACGGAAGAAGAAGGTTTTTAGGCAGAACACCCTCCGCAAAAATTAAAATATTTTTCATTGGTCCATATTTGTTTCCCTGAGTTATCTAAGATAAATAATCCAAAAACATACGATATATTTTTAAACTATAATGCCCATACAACAGCTAAATTTAAGCTCATTAAAAAAAATATGTATAAACAAATTAAATATAAACAAATATAAAGGATCACATCAACATCATTAGTTTCTTTATTTTTCCTCCAGAGGAATGAAGGTACAAAAAAAAAATTATAAAAAATAAAGTGCTTTAAATTTTTCGCAAATCTGAAATAAGTGGTATTTTTTATGATAATTTTTAATATTTTACAACTAGACACTATCCGAATGTAATCGCTCAAATTAATCGTATTACAACCACAAAAACCACTGTTAAGATGTTAATTGAATTCATCGTCTTTAGTTCGCGCATCGCAATCGTTGTTGCAAATTAATGAAAATATAGTTTAAATTTTAAGGACTTATCCATGTTGAACAAATCCGATACCTAGGACTGCACCTGGACAAACGACTCACTTGGAACCCCCATACCAGACTGAAAAGACCAGAAACCGCCCGACGTTTTCGACTACTGCAGCACTTACTAGACAAACGCTCTAAACTTCAAACTATTTACAAAAGACTCATATATATTATTATAATAAGATCTATTTGGACCTACAGGATCGAGCTTTGGAGCTCTATTAAACCATCAAATTCCTCTCGTATCCAATCCTTACAATCCAAAATCCTTTAGCTCAATTCAGAAACCTATCCTTCCATAATAAACTTTTGAACCATCCGAGCCCTTTTGTTTCCAACCTTGCTTCCTCTACTATTCCTGATAACCCTCCGAGGCGTCTGAAAAGAAGATGGACTCGGGACCTTCTAATATAGAAATATAATTGGAGTACTACCAATGGGTAGTTTCTCTTCATGATGTACTTGCCACGTTTGTATCATATTTACTTGTTGTATTTATCATTTAATACAGTGGTAAATTTAAAAAAAAATAAAATAAAATTTTTAAAGGGAGAATTATTATGAACTTGCTTTTTTTTTTCTCGTTTATTACACTAACACAGGATGTTCAAGACTCAATTTACACCCCTGTTAAAATTTAAAAAATTTTAGATTGAGGATTGATACTACTTACAATTAGCGTACCGCAATTTACCTTAACTCCTGAAGTATCTTTTGGGCTCATATCCAACATCCTAATTTTCTCCACTGAATATAACACTGAAATTCCCTATTTCAATGAATTGAAATTTATCTTATTACAGATTCTTATAGGAAATACAACTCTAAAGATATTTTATATCGGTGTAAATATAGATTTTATGTTTCAGGAACGTCAAAAAACGCAAATAATCAGACTTTTTTAGTCAAATTTTCAATCACCTCGAAAAGAAAGAATAGTACCAAACAATCTTCGTAATAAACAATATCGGTATATTAGCTAATTAAATTAGTTATAAAAATAACTCATGTCGAGAGCTCTACATTAAGTACCTGAGATATTTGAACATACATTCAAATTACAATTTTGATGAAAAAATTGGAATATAATTTTCAAGTGTCTTGTGTGGTTGATTAACGTTTCTTGCAGTACATTATAAACATATTGCAATTTCTGTTATTTAAAATGTTTCAGTGTCTATCACAACGAAAAACAAAGGAATCTAGACTACATCAGCTAACTAATGTCTGAACTAAACATTGATTGTATTTTGATTCTCTATAAAAGATTTGATTCTCAAATATTATTTTGTGAATTGAACCCAAGTAAGAATAGAACCAAGGAATAAACTTATTGTTACCGCAAGCTCGTCGTCAGTGGTATGGATGTTGAAAACAAATAGATATACCTATATTTTCATAAAAAATGTATCAATTTTTTTTCCTGACAGTGTTTATGCCAATATATCGTAATATCAATATTAATTTTGACTGTAGAAAACTGGTATAGTCCCCCTACCTCCCAAAAGAAGAAATATATATATATATATATATATATATATATATATATATATATATATATATATATATATATATATATATATATAATATATATATATATATATACAGGATGTCCGGTAAGTAAGTAGAGGGAAATTTTTATAGGAGTGATAGCATACCTCACGATCTACAAAAAAGTTCATATAAACAATGGGCCAATTTTCAGCAGAAAAGTAGGAAATCCAAGTTTTTTTTTTTGTTTTTTTTTGGAAATTTTGTCTAGAATCCCCCTCCCCTCCTCCCAGAGCTTGGCCTTCAAGAACTGAAACATCTTGTATATACAGGCTGTATCGCAAATAGAGGGGAATATTTAAAAGGTTGGTGGTAGGCATCAAGAGCTATAAAAAAGTCCATGTAAACAGCTACCCATTAGTTACGTTTAAATAGGTAGACTGTGACAATAATACTGAAAGTAAGAAAAACCTCAGGCCCAAAAAGACAGGTCATTGAAGCCATTTACATAGCAGGTAACCAAGAAATCATTATGAATTCAGAACTGGATTCGGCTAATAA